TAATTTTAGTCATAAATATGTAATTATTTCATATATTAAATAGGAAAAAATTAAATATCTAATTACATATTTATGAATAAAATAAAAGTTACTTACAAATTGTGATATATTAAGTGTGATGACTATAGAATTAATTTTAGATATATTTATTTATGTTACGTTAAATCGTAGCACTTAAGTGACTTTTTTTTTTCTGAACACATTAGGTAAAATGGACATTTCCTTAAGAATATAAAAAACAACCACAAAAGTAGATTTGAGGTGTTTTTTCTTTAAGAGGCTGATCAGCAGTATAATTAAGCCAAATTATATATGAGAACTTACTTTTGTGAGGAAGCGAGTATTATACCACCTTCATCCCGTTATGATTGTCCCGTTTTACCTTATCAGTCCGTCTCATTAAGATTGTCTCATATCAAATTTGACAAAGTTTGTTTGGCTCTAAATCATTCTTACTTTATTAATCCAATATCAACCACACAAACTATTTTTTATTGATTTGCGTGTCACTCCCTCTTGTCCCATTTGTTAGTGGACGGAGAGAGTATATGATTAGCAAGGGAAATGATTAATTTTTTTTTTCTCTTTTAGCAAAGAAATTGAGATGATCTCTAAGAAATGAAATTACCTTAATGGAATAAATTTAGAAGAGAAGTGGAAACAAACAAAGATAGCAAGAGTCGAGTCCCACAAGACTAGAACACACACGAATCTTTATTCCATTTATTGTGAAGACATTCCAAGAATAGGACGAACGCACTCGGTCGAGTACACCCAAAGTACGTACGGACCACAAATGGACCTCTCATCTCAACCAATACAAAATCCCGGAAGCTCGAGCCAATGATATTGCGAAAGCTAGGAACTAAGTGACATGCCGTGGAGCTACATACACCACGTATGCTGTCTCACATATGTAGAGTTCTTTTAGGTAGATAGACACACATAGGGAAGACACGTGGTACTTGACTAGACGTCTAGACCGTAATGGTAATGAACTGATTGACGATTAAAAGTAATACACCGAACCCCTCGTGATATAGAAATTTCTCATATTTCAACATATCCAATGACTCACAGGTAAAACAAAAACTCAGAAGTTTCTCATATTTGAACTCTACCCAATACCCTTCCCCTTTACTCCTTTTCAAGGTCGTACCCACCTTTAAAGGTTTCCTCACATCCAGCATAACCCTGACCCTCATGTAGGCTTCCCACTTTTCATCAAACTGTTTATCATACAAGGATATAAATTTTCCCAAATAGTTCCCAATTTTACGAACATAACCCAAATTTGAAAAATCATAATGGATATTATGAACCTGAACAAAAAAATCAGTCGTATTCAGAGGTATCTTCTGAGGCAAATCACTCTGTTTAATAGCTTTTAACACCAGCAGATTCTGGTCAAATAACCAGGGTCCATTATCCAACACACGATTCATATCAATTTTGTGATAAAAGGTAAATATGTACCTCTTCTCCCTAATCTTCTGAATCAGAACGACTTTTCCCGGGCGCCAAAGAGACGCCATCAGATCACAAAAAATTTGAAATTTCACCACTTTGTCAATGAGAATCGTGCGGAGCACCGGAAAGGACTCTGCCTCCTTGTTCACTGCCCCGGGGTCGAGCTCCTCGATATCCTCGTCGTCCAGCAGCAGCTCGTCCTCTGTACTCCCCAACCCCAGCCCGTCGTATTGATTGGTCAATCTCTCCACACTTTTTTCACCGAACGCCGCCGAGTATTCCCCTTTGCCTTCGTGTATCCCCTTCGTCATCTGAGAGATAGCTCTGCCGCCCCCTTGTGCCCTCGCCTGCGCAGCCGCTTGCCCTGATGCCGCATGAGATGCCATCCTCACGAAACCTTTGCTGCACTCGTTCGGCGGAATATCCCTCAAACCCTACGAGGAGGGAGAGACCGCTTTTTACTCCCTTTGTTCTCTAATACAATGCCCAGTTGATAAATAAAATTTCATATTTATATTAATTCAGTTTATTTGATTAAATTTGAAAAGATAAGTGCAACGGAAATGAGACTAAGGAATATAGTTTGATTTTAGGATGTTTTTACTTGAATTGTAATTTCCTGGTCTGGTCTGATCTGATCTGTTTAAGTCTGGTCCGATTTGGTCTGATAACGTTTGGTTTATATGTATTTTATAACTACGAATATCTGATCTGATCTGGTCGGTTTGAGACGGGAAAACAGTCCAGAACATGTAACATGCAGATTCACCTTTTCGGTTTTGGATTTTGTTGAGGCCATTGTGGACAGTCGATACGCATTCGGCCAGAATAATGAAATTCAAAAGCGTTTTGGGGAAAAAATAGCTAATCAAAACAATGGCCCAAAAGCAGCATTGCCTCCATACATGCTCGTGCTAGCCGTCAATTCTAAAATGGTACTCGGTCCCAATTTGATAGTCTTATTTCTTTTGGGCACAAGTTTTAATAAAGTGGTTGAAAAGATAAAAGTTGTGATTGAGATTTGAGTATAATAAAGTGAAATGATATGGACCACATTTCTTTCCAAAAAGGGAAACATGACCATCATTTTGAAACATGCCAAAAAGGAAATACAGGATTATTATTTAGGGACTGAGGGAGTATTAATTTTATTTTATTCGTAAAATTAGGATATAAGATATCTTTCTTTAATTCCAAATTTCCAATCTGGTTTGGGTAGGCAACCGACCTAATGGCGCTCTTGAATCAGCACACTTTTTTGTTTAGAATAATGAGCACCAACCTTTAATTTGGCACAAGAAAACAAAATAGAGAAAGATTATTAGCTGTTTTGAAGGAAACTTATGCAACATTTCCATAACTAATAACCCCACTATATACATGTGCAAAAACTATTCTCATGGTTTAGCAGTAGAGGAGAATCTACCTTAGGGTTATGCTGTGTTGAAGTCAGTGTAAGCGTGTAACTTATTTTTTTCCAACTTTTCAGTGTAATTTTTTTTCATATTTCATATTCAAAACTTACTTTGCTAATTTTTATTTTCATATTTCATATTTAACCTACAATTCTTCAATTCCGTCCTACTCAGAGTTCTGGATCTGCCCAATACAAATTTAGCAAATATGTTGGTGTTAGTTGTCTTAGATTTTTTTTTTGAAAAATTTACTTTAGGAGACAGTTTTATCAGGATGAAATTATTGCGGTTAATTAAAAGTGTTTCTAAAATTGTTGCTCAAATTGTGGTAATGAACACAAATTTGATTAGTTTTTAAGAACTTCAAGAAATGAATTAATATCACTACCTGTAATTTTGTATGTACAATCATTGACCAAAATACTTTCACTGATATAGAGTCTGTTTGGTAACACTAAAATTGGCCGAATTGGCTGATTCTGCTGAAATTTATGAAGTTCCGACTGAAGTGGCTGTATTGGCTGATTCTGCTGATTCCTGAAAAAATTATATTTAAAATATTTGTTATAAATAACTCAAATAAAGAATTATATGAAAAATAACTAAAACGATCTTCTATAGTAACTTCAGCCAAAACAACCGAAAAAGTAATTTCAACCTTACTTTTTCTGCTTATTACAAACTTCAGCGCGCGAAATAAAAAATTACATGTTTGATGAAAAAACTGGCTGATAAACCTGATAAGCCGAAAAAAGGGGTCACCAAACGGGCTCATAGTCACCGTCATGCACCCAACCACACCCAACTTCCGGTGCACATTTTAATTCGATGTCACTGGCATTTAAATCCTATTTTCCAGACTTTTGAACTTTTCTCAAAAATACCTATGAAGTCCGGAGATTGTCGGACAATTTGGGGATGCTGAGAGAGAGACTTAGGATTCTAAACTAAATAGTTCCCCCTTTTTGGAACATTTATTAAAATTTCTCATATTAAATTCGGTAAAATTTGTGTTGTTCTAAATTGTTTTTGCTTTACTCTTATTTTATCAATTAATATCGATCACACAAATTCATTTTTCTTAATTACCGTGTCATCTCCTTTCGTCCCAAAATTAGTGGGATGGAGGTAAGAAAGCGTATATGGTACAACCGGCTGTACGGTGGCAGCCGTAAAGCCGGTAGCGAACTTGTAATTTTGGTGAAAATCACATATTCTCTTTAAATGAGCATTGAATCAATTTTGATGATGAGCACCGAGCCTATTCTTTTGAGTATTAGGAGCCTAACGATGAGCATATACGATATCTTCTTCATTCCTCATATATCACATTCTGTTTATTATTTTTTCGTTTATTAAAAAGTTTTAGTCCAAAATGAGCATACATAACTTACAAATTAGTATCAAATAACTAAAAAGTTCATTTGTGTATGCTCATTCATTTTTGGCGTTATACTCATTTGAGTTTAACATAAAACTCATTTCATTTAAAATGAGTATTACACTAAGATCAAATGAGTATACATAAATTACAAAATTAGCATTCATAAAACTCATTTGAAATACCTACTATGCTCATGATTTCATTTATTATGCTCACATCTGAAGAATTATGTACAACTTAGATTTCTCTAACCTGTGGCCAGTAAGTGACCAAACTCACTCACCAAACTTAAGTAAGAAAAAGAGAAAAAGGAAGAGTCCAAAGCAAGAAAGAGGGAGAAGAAGCAACTATGGCTATACACCAGGTGCTGCGCACTAGCCGCCGCTGAAGCCGGAGTTTGAGGTGTTGCGCTCGTGTTGGAGAGTTGCGGCTGTTGAGAATCGTCATATGTGTAACCCATATTTCGCTGCGCCAATCGATCGGAGTATGTGGCGGCTTGGGCTGCTTCGCGAATTGGAGACCTGGGCAGTCGATTTTCGTCTTCGTCGATGTCGATCTTCCTCTTCGTAGGTGAGTTGCAACAGAGATTAATTACAAAATACTCGCATGTACCGTGCACACGGTACAACCGACTGTACCATGTAATTACTCATTCTATAATATATAATATACCGATTCTATAATTACCTCATAACTGAAATAATAGGGAAGCACGGGAAAATGACTCAATAATCACACTTTTTAAAGTCTAACTAATGACTGAATACACACAGTACCCACTATTACAATATTATTACTTGGTACTACATAGTTCATGAATAAAGAAGCCTCCTTAAATCCTTAATTTAAGGAGGCTTAATAGAGGAGGCGTGATTAATTAAATCTAAAGCGTACTGATAAATGATGACATAATCTAATGATTATTTTGATCGAAAAAATTACAACACAACATATATTAAATTATTAATACCTAATGCATTCGTGCTCTTAGGAGTCTTAGTCCACATGGGGACCCACCAATACGGTCAACCCCATAAACTAACATTTCAAGAAATTGCCACGTAACAGAACGACGTATGTCCCGTCCAGCTCTGCATCTCACTGCTCTGCTCACTCTCCATGCACCTACTTCCCGCCGCCGCCGGTTTTCCTTTTGGAACAACCTCGTCGCTGCCGGCAGGGACATCCTTATCTTCCCCACCCTCTACTTTTTCTTCAACTTCATAGTCATCTTCCTCATTTTCATCATCAAGAACATCATTAGTATTGTTATTATAACATCCATAATCCCCTGCCTTTCGCAATGACAGCCTGAGCCGCCCGTCGGCCCTTTCCGTATGAAAGAGAGGGCTGCAAGTGGTTGCGGCCGTAATAATCAAACGGCCGCCTTCGCGGCGGGGCTTCACCTTGATTCCACCGCAGCCGCTGACGGAAGACAGGGGAGGCGGGAAGCTCCCGGTTCGGTTCAACTTCTTGATATTCCGGCCGTTTGAGGAAGCTAATCTCGCCGGACGCGGCTTTTTATCGTTCTCCGCTAGCAGCAAGAATAATTCGTCGAGGCTTTCGCAAATTCTGGCGCCATTTTCGTTCCCTAAGCACTCTGTGCACATGTCCATGTTTATCTTCCTCGTTGAAGCAGCGGGCTTCGGGAGTGGATGAAAGTAACGCTGCTGTAGCGCCGGTGCCGGAAATGTGTGATTATTCGTCAGTTCATAGAAAGAGCTGGTCATTTTTGTCACGCTCTTATCAGGAAATACAGTGAACTGAAAACGGGGGATGAGAAAAACAGAGTGAGTTGATGATGATAAGTTTATACGAAGTACTTAGTATTAAAATGCGAGGAATTTGGACTTTTGGAAAAATAAATAGTGGGATTGTTTATTTAAATTCCATGCATTTGGTTAATAATGCCGATAAATTTAAGATTGTGGGTGGAGGAGATTCAAAGGACTTGTAACAAAAGTTGAAGCATGAGGTAAAGTGAAGGTGTTTGTGTGTTAAGAAGAAGTTGGAAACTTGCAATGGGAAATGTGGAGAAGTGTGATATATTTATAAGATGGAGAGACTCCTTATTGGACCACTTATAGTGGTGAAGAGATTAGAGTTCAAAGTGTTTTAATTGGATACTTGAATTCCTAATATTGAAACATTAGGGACATTAATGGGATGGAGAAAATGGAGAGTGGAATCAGTGGCAGCTTTGAGGGCAGTTATCGGCTTGGGCCTTAACTGCCAAGAGGGCCTCCAAAAAATTATACTCCGGTATTAGTATTAGGTGTTATTTGTAAACCGTCAATACATCGAACGATAACTGCAAGCAGAAATCAGCTTCATAGTTCACGTCTGACTATCCTTCCTTCGTTAAAATTGTAGCTAATGAAGTCTTCTATCCAACACAACTTGCAAAACTGGATTTGAATCATCCAATCAAAATATATGAATCGTCTTTTTTGACCTTGCTTCTCTCATATTCTCGCAATGTTGTTTTCATATGATTTGTAGCCCTTGAAGTTGGCTTTAATATGAAACTTGAATGGTGTTCTTTGAACGTTCCTAAGAAAATATATGCTTGAACGATTGATAGAACGTTATCCTGACCGCTCTTTTCAAGCCCTATTCGTCTTCTTTTGATTTCGTACCTAATTTTAGAGCTCTTTTGTCTTCAAAACTTTGTCTTTAACACCTCAATGACCTCCAATGCTCCTAATCAACCCTCAAATGCTTCTCAACTCGTCCCTATTGCTCTCAAACGCCGGTGTTGGACTCAAATTCCCTGATTTTGACTCCAAAAATACCAAAACTCGAACCAATGTCCGGTACATATGACTTGATCTTAAAATTGAGACTTATGAAGTTATTACTGATTTTTCACTTCAAAAGGTATGAATAATAGGCCAATAGGGTGTTACAAGTATAAGTTTGCCCTTGTGTTTTGCATATGTTTGCATTTAAAATTTTATCCTTTTGAATATTACAAACATTATATCGTGAACTTTGAATATGCTTTTTTTCATAAGGTGATTTTTATTCAATTTATATGATTTTAAAAGTGATTTATACATAATAAATATTTTTCGTCTGGGGCCTCCGAAATGCTCAAGCCGCCTCTGAGTGGAATGGCGGAAGCCAAAAGTAGACGGAAGAAATAGTCTCTTGAACGCTTAGAGGAATGGAAAAAAGAAGTTTACTCTACAATTGTAAGTTGTGGAACACAAGGTAAAAAAAACTCTCTTTTTTAAATCACACTGACACAACTTATACCACGGTTAACTTCGTATTAAAAGATTGGTTGAGTATCAAAATGGTTAAGGAAGTTGTTCCACAACTTATACCACCGTTAACTTGCTGTTAAAAGATTGGTTGAGTTAATGTGGTTTACAAATTTCTATATGTTCTGTTAGATTGGAGCTTAGTCGATGCCTTTGAGGTTGAAAATTTAACCTTTTAAACAACAAATTAAATGATTCGATATATGCGTAGTAATATTTTCAACATTCAATTGAGGAGAGCTCGCATTCTCTCTAGAAAGCGGAAGAGAACGTCTTCGTGTGTTAGGGTTTTGGAGCGATGGATCGAAGGCCGATGTTTCACGGTGGGGCCTGGTCACCTGCGCTCTTGTGCTATATCTTTCGTTCAAGTTTTATTTTTTGGTGTCTCGTTTTTTTATTTGGTTAATAATAGGGAGTTGTGAGTGTTTTTTGTTGTGAGATTGAGTGGAAGCAATCAGGTTAATCTTGCCAATAATAACTTCGAAGTTCTCCCATGTTCAATGATTAGTCTCGCTCATTTTTGAATGGTCTATTCTGCGTCTGATCAGGAAGTGAAGAGACCTATTGGCTATACAGAGTCTAGGGAAAAAACTTGATTTATTGATGATGTAGAGATATTTGATTCTGAATTTAGTATAAGTTTTTTTCCTTTCAAAAAAACATTCAATCAAGGAGAAATGCTGAATATGTTGTTAGAGGGTTTTGGCCGTTTGCTCACTAGGACACTTCTATGTAATAAAATGTGAGAGCAATTTACAACGCCATATTGCCCAACAAGACAGGTGGTAATCGGTAATAAGTGGCAATCCCCCGTCCTATTTGTTTTGGTACTTGGTACTAATGTATGAGAAAAAATGTAATTCCTTTTTTACGTTTTAGTTTTCACTTTTTTATTATCGTCCAATTAATGATTTTTAATTTTTATTGTAGGAAATAATCAATCCTCTGCAATCATAAAGTTTTAAAAATAATACATTTATAGCATTACAATTGTCATAACTGATTCTATTATAGTATTCTTTTTGAAAGAAAAGAGTTATATTAAAATTATAAAAACCAAAATTTCAGTAACATCAAGAGATCAAAACCCCCCTCTGAACTTCTTATAGCCAACATACCCGCTCACCTTCTGAACAGACGTAGAATAGATCACCCAAAATTGAGCGAGACTAGTCGCTGAACATGCGAGAGCTTTGAAGCTATTAGCGGCCAGCCCAACCTATTTGCTTCCACACAAATTACTAACTAGCCAAAGAAAAGCAAAAGATAAGCTTACTTTCCCCAAAGACAATGATACTGATAACAACATAGTACTTAATTAAAAAACTCAAACTAAATAAAACAGAATCAGAACAGGTAAACTGATGGAGCTCCACCGCTCCATCTTCTTCATGTTGCGCCTGCAAGATCCTCAACTCTGTGCTAGGCGAGCCACATAGTTCACTCATCTTCTTCCAGACCCTAGTCTCTCTTGCAGTCCACGATGGCGTTCAGAAGAGGGATGAGCTAGTAGTACCATAACTTCCTCCTCACCCGCCTCTTATTCATCATATTCTTTGTCAAGTCTCCACTTTCGCCGTCAATAATGCGCCACCAAACGCCAATCGCCATCATCTTGACCTCCAGCCGCCCAGCCCTAATTGGATCTTGCCGGGATAGAATTGCAAACACCTCCATGATCGAGTCTCTTATTCTTCCTTCACGCTTTACAAAGAAAAACCTTGTCTGACCTGCACTCACGATGCACACTGGGAAAGAAAAATGTCGGACATGAGCAAGCCACCGCCGAAAAAACTATTCAAACCTAGGGGAAACCCTAGGCACCGTCCACTAAACCTACTACCTGAATCTATTATATTATATACCTATCATTCCTTCAAGATTATTTTCTAAAATATATACTTTAATTGATTTGGTTAAATATTGTCTAAATATTCGTGTCATTTTTCAATGAGAATCTTAACTTTCAATAATATGAGTTATTTGTAACAAATTAATAATACTCCCTCCGTCCTGCAAAGAAGTTCCCGCTTTCCTTTTTTAGCAGTCCCAAAAAAAAGTTCTCATTTCCTTAAATGGGAAGTTATCTATATCAAAACAGTGCCAAACAATGCCAAACAGTGTCGAAACAGTGTCAAAACAGTAAAATTTATCCCCTGGTAAATTTATTTCCTTAATATGTGTATAGGTAAAATCGTGAACTTCTTTGCGGAACGGAGGGAGTATTACATAACATATACGAAGTATTAGAAATAATTAAATTGAGTCCTAACTATTTAAATGCATGACACAAACAATACGGAGTAACTTTTGAACGTCAAATCTGATCATTGTAACTACAAGAACATGACATCATATCTTAATATCAATCAACTTTATTTGTTGGTGTGGTGATCCATACATTTGATGACCGAATTTGATGAGGTGGAAAGTGATTTCGTATAATTTTACTACTTCCTTCACCCCGCAAAAAAGTTCATGGTTTGATCTACTCACATATTAAGGAAATAAATTTATGAGGGGGTAAATTTTACTGTTTTGACATTGTTTCAACAATGTTTGACACTATTTGACAGTATTTGAACTGTTGATGTAGATAACTTCCCATTTAAGGAAAGGGAAGCTTCTTTTTGGGACTGCTAAAAAAGGAAAGTGGGAACCTCTTTGCGGGACGGATGCAGTATTATATAATCCCTCCGTCCCCCAATTAAGTTAGTAGATGAATTTGACACATATTAAGAAAATAAATTTACTGGAGGGTAAATTTTACTGTTTGGACACTGTTTGGCACTGTTTCACACTATTTTGCACTGTTTTGATGTAGATAATTTGCCAACTAAGGAAATGAGGGGAAGTGTGGATTTAATTGTGGGACTGCCCAAAAAGGAAAGTGAGAACTTAATTGGGGGACAACGAGAGTGTTTTCATTATCAATCAACTTTATGAGATAGTTATTTCGGTAATACGTAGTACAAAGTACTCCCTCCGTCCCACAATTAAGTTCCGGGTTTGACTTCACACATATTAAGAAAATAAATTTGACTTTACCGTGGAGTGCACTGTGTTGCACTGTTCAAACACTGTTTGATATTGTTTTGCACTGTTTGACACTGTTTTGATGTAGATAATTTGCCAAATAAGGAAAGTAAGGAATGTGAACTTAATTTAGGGACTGCCCAAAAAAGAAAGTGGTAACTTAATTGCGCGACGGAGGAAGTATGTATTATTATCGATTTACCGTTTAATGGAATGCATTCAAAATTGGAATTGATAGGTCGGATTTCATGTCACGACTGCCTTCTCAATTTTTTCGTACTAGAACGAAAATGAAGTTATATAAGCAAATATAAAATAACAAAAACAAAAACTTTTATTGCATGAATATGTGCTTAATAGGTACTCAGAAGTCAGAACTTACTTCAACGAGGAAGTTAATATTATTATTAGCCAGGAAAATATTTAAAATTGTTGATGAAAAATGGAGATGACCTATAAGAAATGAAGTTACCCAATTGGAATAAATTTAGAAGGGGAGTGGAAACAAATGAAGATAGTAAGAGTGAAGTCCCGCAAGACTAGAATACTCCTACTACAGAGGAAGAATCATTCCATTTATTGTCAATACATTCCAAGAATAGGAGGAACGCACTTGGTCGAGTACAACCAAAGTACGTACGGACCACAAATGGACCTCTCATCTCAGCCAATACAAAATCCCGGATGGTCGAGCCAATCATATTGCGAAAGCTAGGAACAACGGACATGCCGTGAA